CCCCCCACGCTGGCCTTGTCCCCTTTCCCCCGCACTGTGAGGGACTTGGGACCTGACTGGCCCGGGGCCAGGGCGCCCTGCCCCGCACGGCTGGCCCGTCCCCTGCCCCCCGCCTGTGAGGGACTTGGGCCCGACTGCCGGCCAGGGGCGCCTTGCCCCGCACGAGAGCTGGCCTGTCCCCCCCCCGCCTGTGAGGCGGGACTTGGGGCCCGAACTGCCGAGGGCCAGGGCGCCCTGCCCCCCAAGCTGCCTGTCCCCCTGCCCCCGCCTGGTCGAGGGACTTGGGCCCGGAATGCGCCAGGCCCAGGTGCGCCCTGGCCCACCCACAGCTGGGCTGTCCCGCCTGCCCCGCCTGTGAGAGGACTTGGGCTCCGAACTTGCCCGGGGGCCAGGGGCGCCTGCTCCCCACAGCTGGCCCTGTAACTCTCCAGCACTCTGGGAGGCGAGGCGGAGGAGTTGCTGTGAGGTCAGGAGTCGAGACCAGCTTAAGCAAGAGCGAGACAGGCGTGAGCCACCGCGCCCGGCCAAAAATATGCATTGATTTTATGCCTCTGATTTTTAAAGGCACACGTACCCAGCTCCAAGCATTTTAACCAGTGACGTGCGTGGGGGAGCAAGGGAAACGGTCGTCCCACCCCTCTTTCTCCACCTGCAAACCACTGCGTAGGGTAGCTTCTCTCTGATCTTGCTCTGGCTGCAGCGAGATTGCGTTTGTTCTGCATGTTTCCCCTGGACGCGGTGTTATGGTTTTGTGGCCATCTCTTGGCACCCATGCATGGGGCTCCACGTCCCCAGCTGGGACGACCGCCGCGGCGCCGAGGGGTGTCTGCCCCGCTCCGGAAGGGAGCGGACGGCAGAGGAACCATGGTCCTTGTGGTTTGGTAGAGTCTGGGCGTAAAGCCATCTGGGACGACCCGTGGGGGCGTGTGTCTTTGGTGAAGTCTCGATAGTTTTTAGACTATTGGTCTGCCTGTTCAGGCTCTTTTCTTCTTCTAAAGTCAACTTTTATCAATTCGGTTTGCTTTCTCAGCTCCTAAAGTTGTACATTCGTGTTCTCCCCCTCCCTCCCTCCCTCCCTTCCTCCCTCTCTGTGTCCCCATCTCTCTCCCTCCCTCTCCCCCCCTGTGCCACAGGTCTGTCTGTCTATGTCAGGGGTTGGACCGGGTGCGGTGGCTCACACTGTAGCCCCAGCACTCTGGGAGGCCGAGGCGGGAGGATCGCTTGAGGTCAGGAGTCTGAGACCAGCCTGAGCAAGAGCGAGACCCCGTCTTTACAAAATACAGAAAAATTAGCCGGCAGGTAGTGGCGGGTGCGCACCTGCCGTCCCAGCTGCTCTGGAGGCCGAGGCAGGACGGCACCACTGCACTGCAGCCGGGTGACAGAGGGCGGCACACACCTCTGTAAGGAGCCAGGCGCAGCGCACGGCTCGGGCCTCGTGAGCCCGGGGTCTCCGTGCTCGTGAGGGCTCCACGCGGCCGTTGTAGCTGGAGAGCTGGGTGAGGCCGCAGAGGGTGAGCTCGCCGGAGCGTCCGGAAGAAAACTCCGCACCTCGCCTGCTCTTACCCTGCCCGTCCCACCCCTGCAGGCACCAGATTATGCTTTGGGAGAAAAAAATCCAGCTGGCCAAAGAGATGCGCACCTCGGTGGACTCTGAGATGGGCCAGACGGAGACCCAGGCCATGAAGACTGAGATCCACAGGATGAAGGTGGGAGGACAGCGGCGTGGGCAGGGCCAGGTGGCGCCGCCCGCGGGCTCCGGGGACCTGTCGGCACGGAGTCCCCAGCTCCCCCAGCCCCCGTGGGAGCCACACAGGCCACCCTGGCCATGGCAATGGGGGGATTCTGGGGAGAGACACCCCCCCCCCCCGCCCAGCACAGCGACCTGCACTCAGCCTGCCCGAGACCTGCCCGCCAGGCAGGGTCTGCCCCCTCTGTTCTGCGCGCACAGAAACCTCACGGGACACACGGGAGCACGTGAGTGTCACCGCACGCCAGGCAGTCCAGGCACTCTGCTGTTGCAGAGCATGGGCTGTGACCCAAGAACTTCACGACCCGCTGACGAGGTGTGTCCCCCTGCGCGACAAAGAGAGTGTCACTCGGCGCAGGTCCCCAGAACGCCCCGTCCCGCCCCTTGTGGCCGCGGCCTCTCTCCGGGGGTCACACTGGGCGAGATTCCGTCGCCTTCAGCAAGGCTGGCCATGAACTCTCAAGCGAGCACCAAGCCAGCGGCTCAGGGCCTCAGGCCAGAAACAAGAGCAGTACATAAAAATAAACGTGGCGTCGCTTTGACAGTGCTGTCCTCGATAAAAAATCCCTCTGGAATTTTTAAATTTTATTTATTTATTTATTTATTTTTGAGACAGAGCCTCACTTTGTTGCCCAGGCTAGAGTGAGTGCCGTGGCGTCAGCCTAGCTCACAGCAACCTCACACTCCTGGGCTCAAGCGATCCTCCTGCCTCAGCCTCCCGAGTAGCTGGGACTACAGGCATGCGCCACCATGCCCGGCTAATTTTTTCTATATATTTTTAGTTGTCCTGCTAATTTCTTTCTATTTTTAGTAGAGACGGGGTCTCGCTCTTGCTCAGGCCGGTCTCAAACTCCTTACAGGCGTGAGCCACCGCGCCCGGCCTCCCTCCACCATTCTTAACTTGGGGATTCCTGCTTGTTGTCTTGTTTTTTTTACATCAACTCTAGACACAACGTAGAAAGCATAAAATGCGCGCTTGTCTGAAACCGCGGTTTGATGGGCTGTGACAGGCGCACACGTCCACGCAGCCACCTTAATACTTCTGTGGCTCCAGGAAGTCCCCCCAGCCCAAGCCCCAGCCCTGGGGCCCTCAGACCTTCCGCCAGCCACTCCCGACGTCACCGTCTGATAAAGCCACGGAGCGTTTGTCACAGCCGGGAGAGTAACCTTGCTACCGTACCAGTCAGGCTTCCCCATCCCCCGAGGGCGGCCCGCGGACGGAGACCCTGTGAGTGGAGGGCTCCGGGCGCCCGGCCCCGCCCAGCCCCTCTGTCCTGTGCCCCAGGTCAAGCACGCGCAGCTGCTGAAGCAGCAGGAGAAGATGATCCGCGACATGGAGCTGGTGGTGGCCCGCAGGGAGACCATAGTGACGCAGGCCGACGACCAGGACAAGGCCGGCCCGAAGGTGCTCACCCGGACCGACTTCCACCACAGGCAGGCTGAGCTGCGCCGCAAAATCAGGGACGTGCACAAGGTGGGGAGCAGCTCGCTGCCGTGAACGAGGAGGTCCGGACAACCCCTTCTCCCTCTGTGGCCCCCGGAACGTTCCAGAAGGGTGTTCCTGCTCAGGCGCCACGCCCACTGTTGGAGGCGGGCTGTTGCTCTCTGGCGTCCACAGGTGTCCCTCGCAGGGGGCCGTGTGCAGCACCGCCCCCACCCGTCTGGCCGGGGCTGTCCTCCCCACGGACCCGCCCCCACCCCGCCCTTCCTCCCGAGAGCTGCGGTCGGTGCTGCCCGGCCGTGGCTGTGACAGAGGTGCCAGTGGGCACGGTGGGGACCGGGGAGCCCCGCCAGGAGCCGGGTGAGCCCACCTGCTCTGGTCTGTGCTGGCAGTGGGGCCACCGCACCGCCCAGGCCTCGACCATGCCCCCTGTGAATGGGGAACAGGGACCGAGACCCGGCTGGGCCGGGGTGTGGGCGCCAGGGCCATCAGAGGGGCTGCGTGCCCAGCGGGTGTTCTGGGCAGTGCGAATGCCGCCGCTGTTCCGGGGCCTGTGGGCGGAGCGCCCACACCTGGAGGGAGCTGCCCAGGGCCACGCACGGCCATGTTTCCGTCCGTTTCTGCTTGACCGAGTGGCATCAGAGAGGCTGGGTGTGGAGGGACAGCCATCCGTCCAGGCCCGGAGCTGGAGCTCGGGACTCACCAAGAGCCCGCGTCCCTGTCCCAGGGCAGCATCGACCAAGCATGTGGGGCATGACCTGCCCCGCCGGGAGGGGCCCAGCCAGGGCTGCCCCATGGCCACCCCCAGCCATTGCCTGGCCAGGGCTCAGGGCTCAGACCTCCTCTGCCTGGCTGTGTGGCACTAAGGCCAGCTGAGGGCATGGCCCCAGAGTCCCAGGGTTCCACTCGTGGCTGGGCAGACTGACCTCTCAGCGCCTTGGTTTACTGACCTGCAAAATGGGTACCCACCTTTTAGGGTCATCCAGAGAATTACATGGATAGTGGTGAGATAGGCCCTGTAGGGGTAGGTTTCGTGCAGAGAAAAGTTAGAGGAAAATGACAGACATCCTTGACCTGCTCGTTTGGAAGTTACTGGAAGTTTCCGGAAGTTTCTGGAGAGAGGTGGCAGGGAAGCCTTTTTTCAGTCCTTGTTGGCCACGCTGACCACTCCTGATGTCCACCCCTCCTTGGCCTCCCGTCCTGGCCCCCAGCCTGTCCTCACTGCCCTGGGTGCCTCCTCCCCGGTCCCCTGCCAGGACCCCCACACCGGCCCCCCACGCCACATCTGCAGCACACAGTGCCCAAGGCCCCCTGCCCCCGAGCCACGCCCAACACAGCCACCACCACTGACACACAGACAGGTCCTTTCTCTGGACCCCCCAGTCCTGCCCCGTCCTTCGAGTCCGGCCAACTCTGAGTCACCGTCGTCTCTTCCCCCTCCCCACGCCTGGGCCCATCAGCCACCACACGCCACCGGGTTTTCCTTTCTCCGAATTGTGCTGCTTCCCCCGAGGATGGAACCCACGCTACTCGGGCGGTGCCGGCCTCCTCCCCTCCCCGTCTGCCAGGGACGCCCCTGAAGACCGTGTCCTGCGTGGACTCTGCAGAGGCCTCCCCCCCCCCACCGTCCCACGCTCCCCAGCCCCCTCCGCCCCGAGGCCGTGGCCCCCGCTCTTGGTGCACAGCCGTCCCCAGTCCCCATGTCCGAGCGGACAGACCCGCTCAGGTCTCTCTGAGCCACACCTGCCTCGGGGACCGGTCTGCACCGTGGGCACCTTGCGGGCTCCCCACTCTCCGGGCAACGGGTCCCCAAAGGGTGGAGACTCTGACTCCCCTTCGGGGATCCTCCTGGCGGCTGACACGGAAGGCACCTGGCAGGTCCTCACGGCCCGACCCCTGTCTGTCCGCCAAGGACCCAGGATGCCGGGGCCCAGCAGGGACCTGTTTACCTCCTAGGCCACCGAGGAGTGCAGCCAGACCCTCCTGGAGCTGGAGCAAGCGCAGAGGAGCTCGAGCGGCGCCCTCGTGGAGAAGCAGGAGCAGCTGTCGAAGATGCAGTCCGACCTGGACACGCTGGAAGACCACCTCAGCCAGCTCTCGGCCCTCAAGATACAGGTAAACGAGACCCGGGGCGTCAGCAGGGCTAAAGGCACCCCCGGCCGTGGGCGTGCCACTCTCAGAGGAAGTCCTGTGTCTCCCAGGGTCGAGGCCTGTCCTGGCCCGGTCAAGCATTCCTGAAACGGCACCGCACGTGGCCGCGGTCTGCGGCTCTGTGATTCGCTCACTCGACAAGCACTGACCCTGTACCTGTCCCGGGCCAGGCCCAGTTCTGGGGGCCGGGGCTCCAGAGCAGAACAAAACAGACGAAAACCCCTGCCCCCCTGGAGGTTACATTCTGGGGGCAGGAGACATGATAAACAGAATAAAGAAAAAAGAGAGGGTGTGTCGGATGTGATGACGCTTTGGAGAGAAAGGAAACAGAGAAGGAGCATCAGGGCATCGGGTGGGCCGGGGCCCCGAGGCCTTGGGCTGGGTGGTCTGAGAAAGTCACGCAGAGCTGACAGCATTCACTCAAGACCCGTGGGATGCAAGGTAGGGGCCACCCCAGGCAGAGGGGACAGCCCAGCAAAGGCAGGCCCTGGGGCGTGTGGGCAGAGGGCCCCGCCCGGACTGTGATGATGACGCGTGGTCTTGACTTTGGGCTTTTCTCTGGGGGCAGGGCTTTGCGGGGAGGAGTAGCTGGGGCTCCAGCGGGGTCCTCCGGCTCTGGTGTTGGGTGTGGTGGGAGGGGTCGAGGGTGGACACGGGAGGCTGTCTGAGGCCACCACGGTGCTGCAGGACGACAGGATGCAGGGACCAGGTGGCTGGTGAGAAGCTGCCGGATTCTGCACATACATAATCCAGAAGCCGCCCGGCCGGGATCTCCCACTGGACTGGGCCATGGCTTGGGCAGAGAAAGGGCCTGAGCGTGACTCCAAGGGCCCAGCCTGGTCAACTGAGGCAGGCGGGAGAGCGAGCGGCCGTGCACATAGCAGGTGCCGGGAATGTCTTCTAGATGGCGGGCCAACCAAGAGGCTCTGACCTAGTGGGCGGTGGCCTCACAGGTCCGCCCTCTCAGGGGCGGTCTCCTCTCCTGGCCAGCATTTCCTCGCACCCGAGTTTACGTGGGGGGCCGCCGGGCGTCCTCCTTCCGATAAGCACAGCCTGACGCAGGGTCTCTTTCCCACTCAGAACCTCTCGGAGATCGTAGCCCTGCAGACGCGCGCCAAGCACCTGCAGGCGGCGAAGGAGGACAGGTACGTGTTCCTGTTCCGCTCCAAGCAGTCCCTGCAGGTGGAGCGCAGGCGCCTGGACGACCGGCTGGCCCTCATCGCCACCATCCTCCACCAAGTGCAGAACGAGTACCCCCAGTTCCAGAAGGACCTGGTGAAGATCAGCCAGAAGGTGGCCAGCAAGCTCCAATCGCTGGGGCTATCGTAGAGGGCAGCCGGGATGCCGCCATCCACGGCTGCCCCACCCCCAACCCCCAGGAACAGATCCAGAAATGTGCTTGTTGCGAGGGACTTGCAACCCTGTGTCCCTATAAACCACCTGTGCCCTCCGCTCGACCCCACTTAGGAGAAATAGATAAGCCAGCCCACCACAGGCACTGCGCAGCCACTCGGCAGTTTAACCAAGTAAAACCTGACTTCCCAACCGGCCGCTTTCCAGCCAGCCTCGGCCGGCGAGGCCGTGCCCGGGGTGGGCGCAGACACCCCCCCACCCACGCTGCACCTCGCCGCCCCGATAACCCTTCCGCTGGTGAGGCTCCTCGCAACACCCGCCGTGGTGAGCAAAGGGCGGGAGCCGAGGTGCACCTGGCCGGCGGCCTCAGAGGCTGCTTCATCCCTCAGCGCCCCTCCTAACAGGAGACCTGAAACCCCACCAACTTCCCCCCGGTGTTTGCCATCACCACCCCCAGAAAACTCAGGCCTCTTCTCCTCCCCTCACGTCCAGTTCGAGTTAAATTCACACTCGCAGCCTGCGGGAGAAGGTCAGGGACCCCAGACAGGTCATTTACGGAAGCAGGTGACCACTTTAGTAAGAGCACCGCTTGGGTGAATACTGAGAGACCACGTCCCCCCGTCTGCTCACCTGTCTCTTCGTCACTATTTCTATTTTGAGATGGGGGTCTGGCTGTTGCCCTAGGCAGTCCCAAACTCATGGGCTCAAGGGACCCTCCCGCCTCAGCCTCCCGAGCAGCTGGGACTGCAGGCAAGCGCCACCCGGCAGGCCCAAGTCTTCATTATTAACACTGTGCTCTCTCCACACCCCTGCATTTCCAAGTACTAACCACCTAGTGGCTGCATTGCAGTGTAAAGGAAAAAATGTTCTATAAAATAATTTCATCCTCAAACGTTTCAGCAGAAGAATTATAAAAATCTTTTTCTGAATACGGGAGTCAGGTGTATTTATTCTAAAACATTGCAGAAATGCAGACCCTACAGCCTGGTGCAGGGGGAGGTCTTGATGCTGCCTGTGTGTTGGCGACTCCCCTCTGGGACTGTTTCCGAGCACACATTCTGTCTGGCAAGTTAAGATTAGACTTCGTTCAGTTTTTGTGTCTCACTTCTAAAAGTGTGCTCATCATAATGTAAGCATTTTCCCATTTTATGCAAAAATTCCTTATGTCAACGTTTTCACAAACGTTCGGTTTTATAGGTTATCACGTGTCTTGATTATTCCTTTACAGAATAGAAGTAAATTACACACAGGATTTAAGGGGCTTCCCAATTATGGCTGTTGTTTGCCTCTCCACCCTGAGCATCTTTGCGTCTCTGGAGAGGTCTCTGTCGAGGTCTCTGTCCTGCCGGCTGGATTCGCAGGACCGCAGCTTGGCCGGCGCTTACGAAGTGCTAACAGCTGCAGGGACAGGGACTGGGCCGGGACAGGGCCAGCAGGTGCCACAACCCACCTCTGACCCCAAAGGAACCGGGGCCGCGGGTGGCACGACCCACCTCTGACCCCAAAGGAACCTGGACCGGGCCGGGACCGGGCCAGCGGGCGGCACAACCCACTTCTGACCCCAAAGGAACCGGGGACTGGGCCAGGACAGGGCTAGCGGGTGCCATGACCCACCTCTTATCCCAAAGAAACCGAGGATCGGGCCGGGACCGCGCCAGCGGGTGGCACGACCCACCTCTGACCCCAAAGGAACCTGGGCTGGGACCGGGCCAGCAGGTGCCACGACCCACCTCTGACCCCAAAAGAACCAGCAACGGCGCGACCCTGCAGGCGCGGGCGGGCCTCTCCCGGCAAGGTGCGCGCTCCCCCGGGACGCCATCCCGGCCGGGCAGAGGCCCGTGCTGGGAGCGGGGTGCCCGTGCATGGGGGCAGGGAGACCCGCGGAAGCCGGGGACCCGGGCGCAGCCCCGGGGCCCGAGTCGGAGCCCGACGCGGAAGGGCGCGGGGACGCGCCGAAAGGCCCGCCTGCTCCGCCGGAGCCGCCGCCAGGGGGCGCCGCGCACCCTCGCCTCGGCGCCTGCGGGCGGCGGCCGCGCCACGTGACCGAGGCCCGCCCGGCGCGCGCCCAGCCCCGACCCAGAGGCCCGCGCGGGCCGGCGCGCGTGCCGGAGTGACCCGGGCGGCGGGACCGGGCGGCCCTGCGGCGTCGGGCCCTGTGTGGCTGGGGCTGCGGCGGCTTCCCGGTTGGAGAAGTTGAGGAGCCTGTGGCCGAGGCCGCGCGGCGGCGGGCTCCCACCGGTGAGGCCCGGTAGGGTGGCGACCCCCCAGTGGCCCGGGGGTCCCGGACACGTCCAGATTCTCGTCCCTCCGCCCAGGGCCCAGCGAGGAGGGCTCTGTGCGTGCCGCATCTCACGGGGAGAAGGGGAAACTGAGGCGCGGGGACGAGGAGACACCTGACTTCCGCCCGGGCTGCCAGTGGCAACACCCGGGAAGCGGGTTTGGACCCGCGGCGGGTCCGGCGCCCTCCCCGAGCACGAAGCTGGAACCCCTGACCTTGAGCCCTCCCGTTTCTCTCCGGTTGCCAAGCGTGGCCGCAGCCGGAGCCAGCCCCGCGTGGGGCTCGGGCTGCACGCGCCTGTTCCGCATTTCTAGGGTGTCTTCCCTCTTTGAGGGACGCAGTGCTTAGTCCTGGCCGTGACCCCAGTGACCCCAGCCACCCCTGCCGTTCCTGAGAGGTGCCTGGACCTGCCCCCGATCTTGGGTCTGAACCCCTAGAGTCAGGGAGCTCCACATCCTGAGTGTGGCCCCGGGGACCCGCTCTGAGTTCCCTCTGTCCGTGTTTGGTCTTTGTCCCTCATTCCTGGCACACGGCACCTGAACCCTTTGGAAACTGTGTGGTAAGCGTGCCTGTGTTTGTTCACGGGATGGCTGTTGGCTGGGGGCACCTAGGAAGTTTCAGGACAGGGACGGGAAGACCAAGGCCTGATTAGAGGGTTAGGACTCCCTCCCTCACGCCCACCTCCAGAGAGGGGTGAGTGGCTGGAGACTGAGGTCATCACCAGTGGCCAATGTCTAATCCACCCTGCCTACTGGGAGCCCCATTGAAAACCCCCGAGCACAGGGCTTGGAGAGATTCCAGGTGGGTGAACACTCCGGGTGCAGGGAGGGGGCACATCTGGAGAGGGCACGGAGGTGCTGCCGTCCCCCAACCTTGCCTTTGGTACCTCTTCCTTCTGGCTGTTCCTGAATTCTGTCCCGTGTCCTTTGTAACAAACCAGCATATGTAAGAAAAGCACTTTCTTGGGCGGGGCACGGTGGCTCACGCCTGTAATCCTAGCACTCTGGGAGGCTGAGACGGGAGGATCATTTGAGCTCAGGAGTTCGAGACCAGCCTGAGCAAGAGCGAGACCCCGTCTCTACTATAAGTAGAAAGAAATTAATTGGTCAACTAATATATATAGAAAAAATTAGCCAGGCATGGTGGCGCATGCCTGTAGTCCCAGCTACTTGGGAGGCTGCTGCAGGAGGATTGCTTGAGCCCAGGAGTTTGAGGTTGCTGTGAACTAGGCTGCCGCCACGGCACTCACTCTAGCCTGGGCAATAAAGTGAGACTCTGTCTCAAAAAAATAAATAAAAATAGAAAGGAGTTAATTGGCCAACTAAAAACATTCAGAAAAAAAATTAGCTGGGCATGGTGGTGCATGCCTGTAGTCCCAGCTACTCGAGAGGCTGAGGCAGGAGGATCGCTTGAGCCCAGGAGTTTGAGGTTGCTGTGAGCTAGGCAGATGCCATGGCACTCTAACCCGGGCGACACAGTGAGACTCTGACTCAAAAAAAAAAAAGAAAAAAAAAGAGAAGCGCTTTCCTGAGGTCATGGGAACTCCTGAATTTATAGCCAGTTTGAATTTATAGCCAGTCACTGGAAGTACAAGTGACAACCTTGGACCTGGAGCTGGCATTTGAGTGGGGCAGTCTTGTGGGACTTGCGCTGAATCCAGGCAGGTAGTGTCAGAACCGAATTGAGTCGTAGGACACCCAGCTGACACTGGAGAGTGGAGGGTTGACCCATGTGAGGAAGAGAACCCCACATATTTGGTGTCGGAAGTGTGAGTGCCACAGTGGAGCCCAAAGAGCCCTGATTTAGCAGTGGCCCGTGGTGGGACACCAAGCTCTGCTGCCAGGCGGAACACTCCCCACCCACCCTTTTGTGACCAGGATAGATCAGACTCCCTAGGGCCGTAAGTTCCCATCTGGCGTGTGACTTTTTCCCAGGACCTAAGTGTTGGTGGCAGTGTTGTGTGTCTCACAGCCTCCTGCTGCAGGGAGCTTCCATGGCAAGGCCCACGTCCTTTGCTCTGAAATCGTCCCTGCAGCTGCTCCGAGGCCCATTCCTCAGAGACCAGACCCCTCTGATGTCCAACTTTGGTTTGAGGACCCTGCCCCCGTGGACACCCACACACACAGCCTTGCCACTAGGAACCTTCGTTCTTCTTCCCTGGGGTCACACTTGCATCCAGAGGTGGCCCCTCCAGCCCTCGGCTCCCTGCCGTTCTCTCTCAGATCAGAGGGGCTCCCTTGATTTAATCCTTGCGCGTCCATCTGCTCTTGGAGTTGGACTAATACAATACAATGTTCTTTTTTTTTTTTTTTTTTTGAGACAGAGACTCACTCCTGGGCTCAAGCGATCCTTCTGCCTCAGCCTCCTGAGTAGCTGGGACTACAGACATGCACCACCAATTTATTTCTATTTATAGTAGAAACGGGGTCTCACTCTTCCTCAAGCTGGTCTTGAACTCCTGACCTTGAGCAATCCACTCACCTTGGCCTCCCAGAGTGCTAGGATTACAGGCGTGAGCCATTGCGCCTGCCCGGCCTACAATGTTCTTTATAAAATATTTAGAGCGTTCAGATACGCAAAGCGAGATAACATTCACTTGTTAATGTGACCTCACATCCTTGTATTGGCACCTGTGGGGCTCCAGGTGCAGCTGCCCTGGCAGAGATCCCGTTTCTCCCAGGGCCACAGGGCCAGGAGGGGCTCTGGTCTGCGAAGTCCTGCTGTGTGGCTTTGCCACCGTGTGCTGGTCCGCAGGAAAGGGACTGAGGGAAAGTGGTGGGTCCCCCAAGTGCTTAGGGGTTGCCAGAATCACTTCCACTGACACCTGGTCGGCCAAAAGTTAGTAACTGCAGTCACGACATCTATGCAGAAGTGGGGCTCCCTCTGCCTGCTGCTGTGACTTGTCCTTTCACTTGTCAACCCATCGCACTGGGTCCTTTTGTAACGTTTTGGAAGCCTTCTTAGTGGGGTCTTCCACTGTCGGTGCTTTCTCTCTCCCTGCCCCCCCCAACCCTAGTCTAAACAGGGCTGCCCCAGCCTGCCTCGGCCTCCTCGCCTGAGCTCTGGGAGGGAGGGTGTACGCCCCCTCCTGGGTGCTGCCAGGTGAGCTGCTGTGGGTGTTGAGCCGGCTCCCACTCCCCGCTCCTTCTGCCCGCAGGCCTCCGGAGCTGTCTGTGCTGCCCGGCAGCCGCCATGGGCAGGCAGGCCCCGACCATGGATGCAAGGTGGCCGCCCTGCACCCGTCCCCTGCTGGGGGTCTGCACCTTCATCTGCCTGGCCACCGCTGCCCTCCTAGGGCACATGCTGCTCCATGATTTCCTGGTGGTCCCCCAAGAGCTGGGTGGCTTCTTCCCAGTCCTGGAGGAGACCCGCAGAGCTGCCCAGCAGGGAGCCAGTGGGCCAGGGCCCCGGCGAGCCCAGGAGCACCCTGGTCGGACCGCAGCGGCACCCACACAGTGCAACGTGCCCCCCAACAGCCGCTTCGACTGTGCCCCAGACAGGGCCATCACCCAGGAGCAGTGTGAGGCCCGTGGCTGCTGCTATGTCCCAGCAGGGGGTGACCCGCCGGGCGCCCAGATGGGGCAGCCCTGGTGCTTCTTCCCGCCCAGCTACCCCAGTTACAAGCTGCAGAACCTGAGCTCCT